CCATAAATCCCCATCTCCAAGTCAACAACCTGCAGCAAAACGTATTGACTTAAAGGCCACACCAGAAACCAAATCACCGGAAATACGGCGATCAACCAGATCACGGAAAAGCACGCTGGCCGGAAAATTCGGAAATGCCATCCCAATTGGACACATCTCAACAAACACTGACGCCCCACTCACAGTAGCAACCATCGAACTCACAAGTACGGAAGAAATTATACCGACGAAACTTAGCACCTCCAATCCGAGTGGCAAAAATGACGAAAACCAGATCACAAAATACAATGAGGACACGACACACCAAACAGCATCGTTGGCGTCATCAGATGAAATCGTGTGTACAGAGGTCCAGATGAGTAGCGATACGCCCGAGAACACCCGAAATACGACTAAGACCCATACAATTGAAAGAACCACAAGCTCGCGGTATATTCTAGACAAGCCACAGATCACTGAAGACTCTTTCAGTAAAGATTTTGAAGAAGCAATGAATTTCTTACAATCGATTAGTCCTATTCGAGGAAATTCAATGACGTTCCAGAGAGAGAAAGAAGACGAAAAACAACCTTCCCCACAACAGAGATCAACTGACATTACTAAAACCGATAAACAACAATCGGCGGAGACGCGAGAACAAGCCAAAGATAATTCGCAGGAGGACGATGAAAATCAAGCTTAAATTGAGAACTCAATTTCTTAAAAGGAGGGAAGTGTTATCCATACGGATATCATAGTAAAACATTCCTATATAAACAATGTCCACTCAGGTGCTAAAACTACCAGTTGGTAATGTTTACATATTATAAACCTAAATGATTACATAATACATATAGAAGTCTGAGGATTAAATAAGTATCTATCTATACCTAACAACATATGTAATAGTTATTATGAAACGCTGTCTCTCAAATGCTTCGAGGTCAGCGTCATCCAGACTTAAACATAGACCGATGAATTTAAGTTACCATCGTAGTCTTTTCTATTTCTCATTTCATAGTCAGCGTTTAGCATAGACTTGACAACTTAATTATACCTCACCCAACGGCTGAGGGTATAACACCTAGCATCCAAGTTAAGCCGACGCCACTCCGGATATAATGCAATGTGGTACCAAATATATAGATCAAATTTTTAGCTGTTTTCTTTCGAAGGACCATCATTCTTAATCACTCTTATTCTTAATGAATCATTGTTCTTTCATAAATAAAGTTTGCTCTTAAGCCATTATATGTGTAAAAAAGGCCTTGCATTTTTTGTATTATGATTAACTTCAGCGCAGCTAGCAGCGCGATAAATGAGGTGATATAAACTGTTAGTCCAATTCGAGAAAAAAAAATTAAATTTCCGTGCCACCAAAAGGTCGTTTGCATGAACCATCATCTGGCATGGTGTTTTAGCTGTCAAATTGGTACTCTGGTGATTTGTCTCAACTTACCAATTCCAAATTTACAGGGAGCTTTAATTCCCGATAGTCTGACAACTACCTCAAAAAGCGAAACATTGTGCAATGCTCGTCAACAAAATTTAATTCACTTTTAATTCTAGGTAGTCAATCAAGTAACTCCTAAGCTGTGAGTAGATCTGACTTTTGACACACTAAAATTCAAGTTTTGATCGTTAATTTATTCAAACTTATTCGCAAAGCTCGTCCCGCTTGACAATTTAACCTAGAAACTATTTTAAACATTTTAAAAAAAACTACCAATTAAAGGATGCTAACAAATCTGGTTATAATCTGCTTATCTTAAAATAGACTCTTCTACTGTTTCTCAAATCCCACCTGCTCTTTTAATGAAATTTGAGCTTTTGCTTGCTGTCCAGTTGCCTTTAAGCCTATAAAAATCAATAAATCATTTTTTTACCGTACAAATAAAGTTTATAATGGGTGCGGGAAAAAACAGGAGAAGAGCATTGAAAGTGTTTCAATGTGAAAAAAAAATGTGAAAAAAATATTGCCTGATCTTACTCAATAGTAATTATTATAACATCCAATGTATATGGTAACATCTATCGATTTATAAGAAGAAGTTATGGTATAAGTGTAGTGTGTCATGAAACTGAAGATGAGAATTTATCTATGTTATTAGACGTCAAAAACAATTTTGAAATTAAGTTTTTATTGTCGACCACTAAGGGTTATTTTTTCGACTAACCACACAAGTGACAAGCTATTCAAGATAGGGGTGGTTTTTTTCTCACGACAAATTGCCATATTTGTTCTTAGTGTCATTGACGGAGTTTTTTCAACACAGTTTGAAATGTGTTGTTAGCGTGAAATTCATTTGATGCTCAAAACTGAAAAAAATATATTTAACCTGTGATATTTTTTCATCAGGGCTCAAATTTGGGGTAACTAAAGTGCACTGTTTACCAGTTTTTCATTAACGCGTAGAGTAAAGGTGGCGTGGCACGGAACAGCATTATCAGTTGTTAAAAAAGAATTGTTCCAGTTTGCTCAAAACGAGGATAACTGGACTTGGTCACTAATTACGCAGAAATCTGCATTCGTTTCAACATATTGTTCCGACTTTCGATACGAAAGTAACGGAATATTTGTGCTCGGGGTGGGTTTTTTTTCTTCAGACAAATTTCGACTTTTTAACTAGCCATTTTGACGGAATTTTTTAATATCATTTGAAAAGTATTGTTGTCCTGAGCTCAAATTTAAAAAGATATGTTACCTGTGACCATTTTTCGTTAAGTTAAGGGGGTTTAAAGATTGCCATTTTGGCCAATTTGGGACAATTAAAGCGCGATATATTTCGCGCTATTAACGCGTAAGCGGAGAGTTAATCCCTCTTAGAAATCGTTCCAAATTGGTTGAAAGAAGCTATTTGCCATAATTGTTTGTTACAAGGAGCGAATATTATCCTTTTCTACTTTATATGGCGTGTGGGGGGATGATTTTCATAAAAAATTTCAAATTTTAGAAATTTTTTTTCATTTTGTTTTATTTCAATTAATTTTTTAAATGTTTTTGCTGCTCCATAAACGTTAAAAGGCAGTCGGAACATTCAGGGCTTTGCCCTGATACGAGCAGTCTTGTTTTATTTTCTGTTTGTTACAAATACTTTTTAATTTCAATGATCAATTTTATCTTTTAAAATTATTGAGAGCCTGCTGGAATTATTATTAGCTTGTAAATTACAAAAAGTAACTTTTTGCTTTATTCAAACAAGAGTAGCTACATTTTACTGATGAAATTGTCTAGTTAATTCTTCATTTATTTTGCTGATTTAACTTGTCCGGCCAAAAAAAAAATAAACTTGAAACACGTTTCTTTCCGTTTTAGTTGATAATTGACAAAATTGGAGATTTTCACTGATTAATCTTACTCTTAAAGACAAGGTTTTTACTTCGTCTGGATTGGGACAAAAATAGACAGTCATGCCTTCACAGCTAAGAAAATTTTTAGCAAAAAAAGCTAATCAAACAAATTTCATTTATGGAAATTGTATGGCTAGGATTTTTTTCTAAGGGGGCGTTCAAAGTTTTGTATAGTTGTTTCAGAAGTACCTCACCCTGTCTCAAAAAATTTTTTCAACCTGATGTCGAAATTTGTACTCAAACTAACATTTTCCATTTTTTGCATGCAACATTTAATTTTATAACTCTCAAAACACTGTTTTCTTTTTTATGCATGATTTTGTAGGCCTTGATCAATGCCCGATTAATTAAATTTTCAAATTGTAATTTTTTTTTATCTTTGAGACTTTTTACCAAACCAAGTTCTCCTTCACAATAAAAAAAACTGACCAGCCTTTGGTGACTCTAGTTTTGAGATTTCCAAATTTTTTGTCATTTGAGTTTGGATAAGAAACAATTCAAAATTTTGAGAAGAAATTGAATAAAAAATCAGTTCTTTGATTTATGAAAAATTCTAGTCGTACAATTTCCATATATGAAAAGTCACTAATCATAGACCTTTATGCACCTTTTTGCACTTAAGGAAATGCATGGGAAGTGTATGACTGGCATTTTTTCAATGAAACAAACTGTATGATTAGCCTTATAATACACGGCCTCCCACATTCTTAGGTGGTCGGAGCAAAACAAAATCTGCGAGATTCAGCCTTGAAAGAAAAAGGCAAAAATATCTTGCACACAAGAGTTCTTGCATGCATCTAGCAACTTTTCACTTCTCTAGAACAATAAGGTAAATGTTGCAATAAATTATAAATATTACCTTTAAATGTTGCAATTTGTAATCCACGATAGAGAAAATCAAATTAATGATCCAAATCTGGTTAAAAAATTTTATCCAAATTGACAAAAACAAGATTTAGTTTCGGAATTAAAGTACTTTGCATCAAATTCCCTAGCTATAATTCGGCACAGCTTTTCAAATTTGAGAGACCTTCTGCCTGATCCCTGGTGTTTATCGTCTGCCAAAACGTGAAAAAAATAATCCCCCATGAACAAATTGGAGAGCCGAGCTCGTAATCTTACTCTTAAAGACAAGGTTTTTACTTCGTCTGGATTGGGACAAAAATAGACAGATTTCAGGGCCTTCACAGTCATGCCTTCACAATACAATTTTATCCCTCTCGCTCTATGCTTATTTGAGATTTTTTTTCAATCAAATTTTGAGGTCTTAAAACTCAATATTAACAGGAATAACAATTATTCAAAACATGAAGAATTTCCTAAATCAAAACCGCGCTATTGGCTCCAATGCAAGCTTGACCTAGACTTCATTAACAAAAATTCTAGACAACCAAACAAATAATATATATTCAGCCAAGTTAACTGAGACAAGTCGGTCTAAAGTCAATCTGATATTTTCATGTATGAGCTCACAAAAATCAATCTGCTTCGAAAAAGAGCAAGCCCAGATAACTTCAAGTTCTCATATGTTAAAAAAAAAGTTTTCACTTCTTAAAAAGGAACGACGAAAAGATTTAGAAAATTAAAATTAGAGCGAACTTAAAAACTATAGCGAATTTAAATCACAGGTCAAGTATTTCATTGACTTGAAATCTTAATTTGTCACTAACCAGTTTTTCAGAATCTCTCGTAAGTCGCTGAAATAAAAATTAAACGGTGACAAATCGAAAAGTAATATAAATTCAATTATCATAATTCTAAACACGGTATTGTCTAAAATGTTAATGAAAGTAAATCGACTCTTAAGGATAAACGAGAGAAAAAATCAGAATCAGTTGCTGAATATAAATGGTGTTCAGCAAATGCTATTATTTAGGTCAAATAATTTAAATGGTTGTGATACAATAAAAACAGCAAAGTGTGAAATACGCCAACCAAATATGCGAAATAGTGTCAAATGGCGCGTTTTGTTAAACAGCAGCAACCACATCAGTTTTTCAACATATGATATAACAAAACCTTGTCATTTTGGATAACACTAAATGTTAAAGCCGAACCGAACCATTAAAGAAAAGCAAAGTTGAAAGTTGCTTTGAGCAAAACTTAACAGAACGGAATTTTTAAAAAGATTAACTTGGAAAAAAAATGAAGTAGTGCTTGTGTGAAAATAATTGTACAGTTTTTTATCTCGAGCTCTTAAAATATTGTGCCGGTTTTTTCCAACTCATTGCGTTAAACTAGTATAAGAGAAGGACCGTGTTTTCGTATGGCGTTTTAACCATTTGGCGTAATAACCAAGCCAGTTAAAATTATAGGGAATGGTGAATTAAAAACTGTAAAACTGCTTTTTATTGGGAAACGGTTTTTTCTAAGCGTAAAGATGCGCTTCAGTTCCCAGCGGCGTATCTTTGTCATCTTTATTAAAAAAATTCACACTAATGCTATTTAAAAGAGTGAAGGGTTTTTAATAATTGCGTCAATTTTAAACAAGCAAGTGTAAAACAATTTCAAAAAATATTAACGAGTCTCAATAATGCTGAGGAAAACAAAAAAGGACACTGCTTGATATCTTATCATAGTTTTGCATTCGCCTGAGTTCGATACATTCAGTCTAAATACCTTCATGCTATGAAAAGCAATGTAAAAAGGGCATTAACTCCTTATTCATCAAAAAAGGTGCTTTCTTTTAATGCAGCAAAAATGCATATATGACTTCATTCAAGAATAATACCAGAGTCATTTTGTGAGCAAGAAAAAGTCAGCAAGATGTTGATTTGAAACACATCAAGATAAGGCACTGGCAGACAACATTTTTCTTTGAGAGCAGTTTGAAACTGCATAATTTTTTTTTCATAATTGGTTTATATAAACTCCTGCGTGGTACAACAATAAAAAGGCCTATCAAGCAGTATTTGTTCTTCGCATTTAGTTAATGAAATCAACAAGGATTCATAGACTCTTTTTCACAATAGGAACTTTCACCTGGAGACATTTTTCGTCTGAGCCTATTGTTTCAGACAGCCAGTTTTTTTAGAATCAGTTCCAATTCAATAACAGTCTGATTGTCCTTCGCCCAGACTAAAGCGACTGGAAGTCCAAAAAACAGGACTTCCAGTGGATTTCCATTGCTGCCCAAAATAAAAACGACATCAGCGAGGAGTTTCGGGTTGAATGTTGCAAAATTCATCACGCAAAACTATTGATTGCAAAAATTTAACAGCAAAACTACTCGTTTTAAAATATGTTGCTTAGCCTGATTATTGATTTATTTTGTCATTGGTCTCAATCGATTATAAAAAGGCCGTTTTAAGCGCCATTATTTCTCATATTCAATGAAAACACACACAAAAAAATTATAATCAAGTTATAACAAAAACGAGGATAGCCGGTTGCTGTGCAAACAAAACAGGCAGAATGTTCCGACAACGCTTATTTTTGGTCTGAAATTTAAAAAAAATTCTTGAATTCTTAAAATTCTTGAAAATAAGAAATTCATAAAAATATCAAAATTTTCGGTGCATATACAAAACAGTCCCATACAAAACAGTCCCATACAAAAGAGTCCGAAACATCAAAAAAAGGTTCTAAAAAACAGTCCCATACAAAACAGTCCAAAACCAGTTGAATTTCATGACCTTGATCTTTTGGCGCCGACAGAATTGATCTACGCTTTGAAAACTCAAACAGGGGCAATTAAAGATCAAAGAGCCAAATTTGGAACAATAATTTGGATGAAAATCAAAGGACTCATGGTATAGTGGTTAAAGCGTTAGTCTCAAACTCTAGAGATCAAAGGATCGAATCTCCGGCGGCACAAAAAATTTTCTAATTTTCCGAAAAAAGTTGAAATTTGGGTAAATATGATAACGGGTATATCTAGGGTACAACAAAGGGTTCAACCTTAGAGGGTTGGGCGGAGGGAAAAGAAAAATCAACACCTTGTATGTATTCATTATTTTGCCGGTTTCAAATCGACTCTAGCTCAATTTTGAAAAATCAAGGAAATTAATTAACTTGGAAAAATTTTATTGCTTGGCAATATGGAATAAATGTGAAAGATAAAAAGAAAAGAAAAATCTGATTATAATTTAATATTATAACTGCATCCTTTCAAAAACCAATACTTTTTGTCCTGCGCACATTTTTTCCAACAGTATTTCCGCGTTTTTTTGCTCGTCCTGGAACTTCTCGATCAGTTTTGGGAATGATGGATGCTTACTATTGACCAGTTTCACGAAGTTGCTGTTCCAACCTTCTACAGCGTTGTTGGTGCGGGGAAGGTCGTTTTTTACTTTTTGATGGCAACTCCATTGCTCCATATCAAATCTGGGCTTCTGTCGTCCTTGAGAAGTCAGTCTACCAATATATGTGTCCTCGAAATAATTGAAAATCGGTTGACTTTCTTCAGATGCCATACCTTGCAGAAGCTCGAAAGCTGTGGGGACGTCCTCTACGGGTAGAAATGCTGTTGCGAGAAGCATTCGAATAAGTTCGCGAAAATTAAGGTCATTGTTGTAATTGTGAGTATTGCCTGACGACTGAACATGTCGCCAGACACTTTGACTCATATGGAAAAAACAAAACTGAATTTGAGCACTCTGATGGGTAGCTATTATTGAGTTTCGCACAGCTACTTCAAAATCAATTGTGACGCGTTTTGGGGAATCAACTTTAAGAATACTGAGAAGGCGACAATAAGTTGATTCCTTTTTGTCGGGTAGCAGAGCGTAAACAATAGGAATAAGGCATCCTTCAACAGAAGCGTGTATAGTATAAATCTGATAGAAAACATTGGGAGCAGTCGAAAACGTTCCATCACAGAACCAATCATCCGATAAAGATAGTAAGTCTAATCCAGGTAACGTGGCAAACACAATAACCCGATTTTCTTCTTGGGGACCAGAATCGTGAAGAAGGAACTGCTCTCCATCGTGGGTTTTCTGTAGAGCCAGTGGTAGTTCAAAGCCAGTCAGCGATGTTGGCTCTGCCATCTTTGGTCTTTTTTCGCGTCGAACTCTATTTACAGCTTGCTGATTAGCAGAATAACTAGGTAAATGAACAGCTGTTTCTCGGTTCACATCACGTTGGGCTGCAAAAATAGTCTGTCGCGGTGTTACATCGGATACTGCTGCTCGATCTTTAAGTGTTTTTCTGAACTTACGTTTTTCGATGTCAGCTGGATCGAAGAAGTGGCAGTGATCTTTAACGATCTCAACGGAGTCGTCCTTTGTACGCACACGGCCATTGCAGCTACTTTGTCCGCAGCGCCAGGAAAGGGAGTTGTCTGCCAGTGTTCTGTGTTTAATATAAGCATACCCTTCAAAAATCAGTAACTCAGAATTTTTGTTTGTAAGTATGATTTCCATCGATAGATAGTGAATTTCGTTTCTATTGAGTGTTGTCAGGTGTTTGCAAATGAAACAGATTGAACAACCTGTCTCTTTTTGCTTAGATTAAAAAAAGAGTCCACTTTCTTAAATTGCGTTAACTTTAATGTTTCGAAGATTATTGCTCTTATTGAGTGGCCGCTGCTGTTATCTAGGTTGTTCTAATTTCACTACTATACTACCTATTGTTATCCGGATTAGTTGGTATCAAAATGTGTTTAATATGAGATAAATTTACTTATCAGCTTCTAGAACAATTATCACCTCGATCAATGGGACTATTTTTTGGACTATTTTTTGGACTATTTTTGGGACTGTTTTGTATGGGACTGTTTTTTTGTACTTTGCTATGTTTTTTTGGACTGTTTTGTATTGGAATGTTTTGTATGGGACTGTTTTGTACAGACACGAAATTTTCCAACCACGAATGTTTTTAGGTTTGAACTTTGAAAATAAAAAATATATATAGTAATACAGTTTTTTTGCTTTTGGATCTCTTTGACTATTTTTCTCCACCCCCTCTGGTACCTAGTATCAAATCTCCAGAATAAATCAACGATTAAGCAATGGGAATTTTGTACATGTTAACAAATCTACACTCTTTACTCTTTTTGCAAAAAGGAGAGACTCGTTGATAGGTGTTTGAAGGGGCGGTGATAGTTAAGTGCAAAACAAAAGCATGGCTGGAATATTTTGTCATTTTCAAGATTCTTTTTTATTTTTAATTTTGAACTTCAGATCAAAAATAAGCGTTATCAGAATATTCTGCCCGTTTTGTTGGCACAGCAACCGACTATCCTAGTTTTTGTTAACTTGATTACAATTTTTTTCCTTGTATTTTCATTGAATGTGAGATTTTAGGACGACTAAAGCGGCCTTCTTTATAATCGAATGAGATCAATGACAAAACCCAACTTGTTCTTCTTTTTAAAATGATTCATTATCTTTTCAAAAAATTGCATCGGAAAACAACAAATAACCAAAAAACAACCCAACTCGGCCTTGCTTTTAAATTATTTTTGAAATTTTTTAAAGAAAATTGCATGGGAAAGGAACAGATAACAAAGAAATAAATCAACGGTTAGGCAATTGGAATTTAGTACCTAGTAACGAACCTCCCACTTTTTGCGAAAGGAGGAAAAAGGTTAAAGAGATCATCGAAATTTTTCCCGTTTTGTTGTTGTTTCCAACAAGTGCCAAGAGTTTATTTTGTTTAAAATCAAAAATAATCTGGTACTAATGACAAAAACTTGAAAAAACTACAGTCAAAATCAAAGAGGAACTTCCGTGTAATCTTAGTCCTCCCGATAAATTGAGTCTGAATAAAAAGAATTCCCCCTATTTCGACGGGCTTGCTTTGAGGTACTTTATAATCAAACGAATTTTTTTCAGCTCGGCTATTAAAAGTCAAATTTACGCTAGAGTTCTTTTGCACTATTTCGAGATTAGTCTCAGTCTGAAATGATTTGACCTGAATGATGATCATAAGTAAGACAAAACGGCTGGTAACAGGGCAAAGCCCTGATTGTTCCGACTGCCATTTAATT